TTACAGGGTTTCTTGGGGTTACAGGGATGGTGAGATCATTCCTTGAACGTCAAGGTGGCCCAGCCAGCATGAGAGCTGCTGTTTCTGAGCATTTGTTGTATGAGGATCAGGAGAGGAGGCTCACAGGTGAAGGGTATGTGCTGCTCTTCTAAGGGACCAGAATTCAGTTCCAGCCCCTATAGGAAGGACTCACTGCTCCCTTTGATGCCAGCTCCAGGGGGTCTCTGGCCTCCTCAGGTACCCGCACACATGTGCGCATGCCCCGCCTCCCGCACAGGCACGCATGCATACGTGAAGTTAAAATGAAATGAATGGGGCCTGGAGAGGTGGGTCAGCAAGGTAGAGCTGCTCTTCCAGAGGACCCAGGTTTAATTCCCCGGCGCTTACACGGTGACTTAACAACCACCTGGAACTCCAGCCCCAGGGGGACTCGACACCGTCTTCTGACCCTTCCTGGACATCGGGCGTGTACACGGTGTCCAGATACACGTGCGGACAAAACACCCAAACGCGTACATTAACTTACAACTATAAATAACTAAGTCTTGTTGAAAACAGGGAGTGAACTGATGGCGATGGCACGGAAAACCAGTGTGCTCTTTGGCACTGAAGTGGGCCCTGTTACTCACCTGCTTGGTAGCATCCTGTCCTCCCATCTGGTTGCACTCGGGATGTTTCTACCCCGTCTGCCTGAGCCCCTGCCTCAGCCCCCTTCCTTTCCCCGGCTTTCCTCTTCCATTTCCCCTGCTTCCGTGCCACGCGGTCCCTTTTCGTTTGCAAACCCCAGCGTCCCCTGCGGGACCGACTTCTGCAGCACTGATACCTGTGGCTGCCCCACCCCTGCCCCCACTCCCACCCCCAGCCCAAGCCCCTGTCCTCCAGCCTCTCACACCTTTGTGTTGCACCCCTCTGTTGGGAGGTGAAGAATTATTTGCTTAAAATTCCCAACAATTGTGAGTCTCCCCCGGCAGAGGCCAGGTCTCTCGCTTCTCAGTCCCCAGGCTGTCACAGGGCCTAGTGCTTATGTTTGTGTCCAGGAAATGATATAATCTCTGTCCTACGTCGTGGGCACTTGGAGTAGATGATAAGAACACTATATTAATTATGAGATGATCCTGTTGGGGGGGGGTCTTGGAAAGCTTTGAAAGGCGGGAGCGAAGACCCTCACCACTGTCACTGCAGAAGCCAGGGGGGCAATGTGGGAATGGTTCAGTAGCCTGCAACTTAGGCAGGAACCCATGCGGCAGGCACAAAGGTGCCACAGCTCCTCATTGGGTAACAGCGGTAATTGTTTGTGTCCCCAAGGAGAAGGAAGGTGTGGTTCTGGGACTGTGGGACTCAGCCCTGGATCAGCTGTCTCCTTAGCTTGTTGTAACCTTGGGCAAGTCATTTCATGTCCCCATCCCATGTGAGCCTCAGAGAGAGCTTCGAAAGATGCTCTCCATCCCGCCCATGCCCCTCCCCCCAGCACATCTTCCTTTGCAAACCCTCAGAGCATGAGCCTGCTGAACATCTGCGAACCCTGGGCCGGGTTTCAGATGGGCACCACTGACTGCTTCTTCAGAGAGCCGGGCATTCGTGTGGGATTGGCTTTGCTCCAGCAGAAACTAGAAAGACATCCAGAGGGCTGACAAGTGGCCCAGTGCGTAAAGATACTTGCTTCATAGCCGGGCGTTGGTGGCTCACACCTTTAATCCCAGCACTCGGGAGGCAGAGGCAGGTGGATCTCTGTGAGTTCGAGGCCAGCCTGGTCTACAGAGCGAGTTCCAGGACAGCCTCCAAAGCTACAGAGAAACCCTGTCTCGAAAAACCAAAAAAAAAAAAAAAAAAAAAAAAAAAAAAGATACTTGCTTCATAAAGGAGAGGATTGGTCCATAAAGTAGTTCTTAGACCTCTGCAAGCCATACACGTCACACACACACACACACACACACACACACACCATATACATACATGCCCACTAATAATAATAAACTTAAAATCCTTCTCTTCAGGGTTGTGTATGTGTGTGTGTGTTGTATGTGTGCACGTGAAATTATCCGCCAGATCCACTATTCCCTCAGCAGAAAGCTGGGGTGGGGGGGGCATCTACTTGCCCAGGTGCATGTAATTGCCCAACTGTATGTATTATTTCACCAGCAATAAAAATCCAGCAGGGAAATGAGTGCTGCTAAAATTAGTTTGTTTGTCCTTTGACAAGATCTCCCCAGTTGAAAAAAGAAAAAAGGGCTGTGTTTATCTAACTGGCAGGGTGACTGGGGTAGGATCGAGATTAACAGTCCTGGTTAGTGGCACAGGAGACTGCTTTGAAGCACTCTCCTGCTCTCTTCGCAAGGGTGTTTTCTCGGTGTCCAGCCTCAGCCTCCCACAGAGGCTGGGCCCTTCGATGGGGGTGTTCTCCCCTTTAGCTAGGTGGATTTGCAAGTTGCCCACTCTGTTATACACTGGCTTACTACATCTGGTGGACAGGCAGACAGCTGGACACATGGATGGGGGCTGGGTACAGTGGCAGACAGACATTCCGTTCGCCTTGCTACGTGTCTTAGGGGTCAGGTTTGCTAACATTCACGCTGGAGGGAAAACAACACTCTGGTCAGTGTGATCAGTGAGTGTATTTGCCAAACCCTCTGTGGTTGGGACTTTGCTTTATTCCTTCATATACTCACTTACTCAAGCCAAGAAATATTTTATGTACACACAGAATTGGGGTGAGCTAGGGATATGGATTTGAACAAAATAATAGAGCCTGCATTTGAGAAGCACACCATTTCCTGGGAGAAAAGCATTAGAAGGCAGTTATGCAAAAGAGTGCTTAATGATAGCTGTGATCATTTTATTTTAGCTTGCATTAATATATGATTCATGTACCATAAAAACACACCATCTTAAAGTGTATAATTCAGTGGCTTTTCACAGATTGCTTTTTTTTTTAATCATACTGCTGGGTGAAAAGTTCAGTCTGTTCTACCTTGTTGGCACAACCACAAACACTTGGTTTGATTGACTTGATGAACAGATGCGTGTGTGTGTGTGTGTGTGTGTGTGTGTGTATGCATGTTACTGCTCACACAAGGTGGCTCCTGGGAGGACTTTCTTCTCTGCCCCTTTCTTGGCTACCCTGACTCTGCCAAACAAACTCAAACTCAGCACCTCCAGTTTTCTGTCCGCCCCAGAAAGATCTGAAGCAGGTGCAGCCAGCGTTGGCCAGCACCTCAGGAGTCACTCCATACATAATAAGCTGAGATGCCACGCATGTGCAGATGTGCAGGAACTCTCCTGTGTGTGATTCAGCTCAGCCAGCTAAGTCAAGAACACAGTGCCACAGGGCGGTGGCCTTTAATCCCAGCACTTGGGAGGCAGAGGCAGAGGCAGGTGGATCTCTGTGAGTTCAAGACCAGCCTGGTCTTCATGAGCTAGTTCCAGAACAGCTTCCAAAGCCACAGAGAAACCCTGTCTCAAAAATTCAAAAACAAAAACAACAAAACCCACAGTGCTTTCTGGGACTCTGAGCTCCATGTTATTCCATTTGAGATTCAAATGTCTTACTTTTTCAGAAAGCTATCCGATGATCTAATGGGGCCCATGCAGAATCAAAACTATCAAGTTCAATGCTCCACTGGCTTGGTCTCAGTTTAGTTCTGCTACTATTCTCCTTTGAAAATAAGGAGGACCACCTAACCAGCCCCTGTGTGGGGTTAGGGAGGACCACCTAACCAGTTCCTGTGTGAGGTTAGGGAGGACCACTTAACCAGTTCCTGTGTGGGGTTAGGGAGGACCACCTAACCAGTTCCTGTGTGGGGTTAGGGAGGACCACCTAACCAGTTCCTGTGTGGGGTTAGGGAGGATCACATAACCAGCCCGTGTGGGGTTAGGGAGGACCACCTAACTAGTCCCTATGTGGGGCTAGGGAGGACCACCTAACCAGTTCCTGTGTGGGGTTAGGGAGGACCACCTAACCAGCCCCTGTGGGGGTTAGTAGGACCACCTAACCAGCCCCTGTGTGGGGTTAGGGAGGACCACCTAACCAGCCCCTGTGTGGGGTTAGGGAGGACCACCTAACCAGCCCCTGTGGGGGTTAGGGAGGACCACCTAACCAGTCCCTGTGGGGCTAGGGAGGACCACCTAACCAGTTCCTGTGTGGGGTTAGGGAGGACCACCTAACCAGCCCCTGTGTGGGGTTAGGGAGGATCACCTAACCAGTCCCTGTGTGGGGTTAGGGAGGACCACCTAACCAGCCCCTGTGGGGGTTAGGGAGGAACACCTAACCAGCCCCTGTGTGGGGTCCAGGTAGAATGAGTCACAGATGCTCTGCGCTTTCTCCTCTGACTAGTGGCTGCTCGCAGGGACGCTGGTTGGTAGACTTTAAGGCATCTATTCAGAAGGCTCTGGGGGTCCTCCCTCCCCTGGACAATACTGAGTCCAACAGAAGACAGCCTGAAGCACGGCCAGGAGTAAATGAGCATGAGTGGTACACCCAGTGTCTTGTGGGAAACCTCTGGAGACCTCACTCTTGAAGGCCAGAGCAGACCCCTGTACTCACCATTAGGACCACTGCAGCTGCGATGACTCTTGGAGCCTTTCCCCTCCCTCCGCCCTTCCCTGCCTTCTCCCTCGAAAGCTGTTTTGCCCAGTGTGCTGAGGACCTGTCAGCCTGTTCACGTGACACGGGTAAAGCACCCGCTTGTATGATCGCTGGCATTCAGAAGCACGCTGTGTGTGCATCTGACAGCTGGTTGTATTTGCCAGTCCTGTCTGCTTCATAGATATAGATCCCCATGAGTTTGTATTCGTTAAGCTCAGCCTGCTTTTTCCCTGCCCCCCCCCCCCAGGATCCTAGACTGAGTCAGCAGCTGAGCTCTCCCTGGCTGTGGTTATGGAGCCTGGGGAGTCCTTCCTGCCCCCTTAGAGCACGAGGTATCGTGCCGGGGTTCTGGGTACAATGGCGAGACTATGTGCAGTTGCTTTTGACCATGCACACGTGCTGTCCTCTTCTTTCAAAGGTACATGACCGACGGTGGACTTGGCCTCTATACTCGTCGCCTGAACCGGCTTCCCGATGGGATGGCTGTGGTGCGAGAGACCCTGCAGCGGAATACCTCCCTGGGCCTCGGGGACGCCGACAGGTAGGCAGGCTGCACCTGGACTTAGCCACACACAGCGGCCATTTGAGACTGGCCTATGCAGCGCTGGCCGTGATGTTGGGAGAGCGGATGGGTATGCTCTCCAGCCCGAGGAAAAGCAGGGCGGCCCTGAGGTTGCCCCTGCCCTGAGGGCTGGTACTCAGATAGCAGAGAGCTGCTGTGGTTCCCGGATCTTGCCTGTATGTGGTGTAAAGCTTAATGTGTCTGTGTGCATGCATGTATTTGGTGATGGTGCTAAAGAATGCAACCAGGGCCTTGTGGATGTCAGCAAAGCTTTCTGCCACCGAGTTACGTCCCCAACTCTAGGCTGGTGCTTCTGACTTCTGATAGCAAGAGCGGAGTTCAGGCTAGGGTGGCTCTGTTCCCGTTTTGACTGTTACACAGCACCTCTCAGCCAGCAGGCCCCGGGGAATCTGTCTCATGCCCTCTCCCATTAGTCAGCTTTCTAGGTATTGTACCTTGAGCTCTCCAGACCTCTAGGTAGAGTGGTGGTTAGGCCATGCCTGAGGAGGTTTTACCAAAGCCCCCTGCTGTCTGAAGCTGGTGAAGCTTAGGGTAAAGAGCTGGCATTCATACACACTGATACTCATATGCCCATACATATGTGTATCTTTTAAAGATGCTAGGGTTATGTAGCTCTGACTTGCTTCAAAGAAGCAGGGCAACATTGTAAGGAGACAAATACTGAAATATTGCCCAACAGTGGAAGAGGAATCCACACAGTCTCTACAGCAGTGGAACTCACTCTTCGCAGCGCTGCGACCCTTTAATACAGTTCCTCATGCTGTGGTGACCCCCGCCATAAGATTACTTTATTACTACTCACAACTCTAGTTTTGCTGCTATTATAAATCACAATGTGAATATCTGTGTTTTCCCCTGGTCTTAGGTGAAGGGGTCATTGGACCCCCAACAGGGGTTGAGAACCACTGCACAGGGACAAGGCTTGAAAACCTGGATAGCGGGGTAGTGCTGAGTTAATTGCCAAGACCTCAGGATCTGTGCCAGTGTCTGTAACTCAGCATATCTTCCTTTGAGCCCCACAGTGTCCAGTGTGGTCATTTACACCGAGGACAACAAAAGGCTTTCTACCAGAGTTCTGTCACAAGTTAGCTTTTGTCTCTGCTATTCTATACAATTATTGGTTTGAAAAAAATCCATACAAAGGCTGAGGGTGCTTAGCTGGTCGAGTGCTTACCTAGCAGGCACGTAGCCCTGGGTTTGCTCCTTGACACTGCATTCCAGCAAACAAACAGAAAACCAGCTGAATAATCCCTACTCGGCAGGCAGATCTCTGTGAGTTCAAGGCCAGCCTGGTCTACAGAGCAAGCTCCAAGACAGGCTCCAAAACTACACATCTTGGAAAAAAAAGGGGAGGGGGAGAAACCTCTGAGAGCTGCTCTTTTGTTTTTATTTTTTAATGTGTGTTTGGTGTTTTTGCCTCAATGTATAGTATGCACACCATATGTTTGCACTCCCTGAAAGGGCCACAAGAGGGCGTCAGAGTCCCTGGATCTAGAACTACAGGAGGTTGTGAGTGGTCCTCTTCAAGACCCACCAGTGCTCTTAGATGGTTAGGAGCCATCTCTCAAGCCCAGAGAGCTTCACTTTCTAAAGCATAAACCCTGCAACCAAAATCTTTGTAGTGAACCACACCAGGAGAAAATCAGTGTCTGCAGCACTCTCTCTGGTGGTATGGCAATTTGTCCAGTCGCTCTGCTTGTCCTCGTCGTGATGCAGTTGGTTAGGATGCCTGTTTGCAGGTCTTGTGAGGTCAGTCTCGTCTCCCCTTGCAGCAGAAGCCTCTGAGATGGGTGTTTATCCGGTGCTTCGATGGGGCACTAAGAGAATCATCGTGTGTGGCGGCTGAGCCGCTTGCCTCTTTCTGGAGATTGCAGGGGTGGGGTTGGAAAGATGGAAGCCTTTTGTTTCCGTTGTCTCATTTCAACACCAAATGAGCAGCAGTGACTTCGGGGCTTCCCCGCACCAGGTGTGATCTCTAAGGGCTAAGTGGACAACCAGTCGAGTTAGCTCAAGGGGCTTCTATTTCAACAACAACAAAAGACGATAATGATAAAATGTCTTCCTGTTTTATTTAAGGTCTAAGTTACTACCAGTGATAGACTTGTATCCTTGTGGAGCGGACTAAATTCCAGCATGCTCCACAATTACTGTGAATAGAACACGATGATGTTGCTCTCGTGGCTAAGTGGGAACAGCTGTGGTTTTGTTTCTTTCCGTGTGCATGCACATGTTTGCGTGGGTGCACATGTGCATGTAGGTGCATATGCATACATGCATATGTGCATGGGGAGGCCCTCGGGCCAGAAGAGGCTGTCAGGTTCCTGCCTCTTGCACTTTCTATCTATGTCTTTGAGATAGAACCTCGACCTCTCGTTTTCCTTTCTATCTGTCTTTGAGACAGGGTCTCTCCCTGAACCTGGACCTCTCGTTTTCTCAACTAGCTGGCAAGCCCCAGAGTTCCTCCTGTCTTTGCTTCCCCAGGGGCCAGAGTGATGGGGGTTAGTAAGGACACTGCTCGTTACATGAGTGGTTGGATCCAAGCTCTGATCCTCCCCATGACTCCACGGCCATTGAGGTATCTACCCGGTCCCTTTATTTTTTTGAAACGGGATTTCTCACCGACAAGTGAGCTAGGCTGGTGCGTTTGCAAGTCCCAGCGATCCTTCTGTCTCTACCTCCCCACATATGCTCCGTGACTTTCAGTGACAAACTCAGGTCTGATGCTTGCAAGGCGGTCTCTTTCCTGACTGAGCTAGCTTTCCAGTCTCCCATAGCCTTACTTATAATATTCTCCGAATACCTCTTCCCCTGGTCCCACGCTAAGGCAGTGTTTCACAAAGTGGGGGGGGGGGGCTAAATGCAGTATAGGAAATAGTTGTAAATGATAGGGAACTATTCCCTTTTAGTGTTTATTTTTTAATTTTACTGCCTGCTGGAACTCATAGCCAGCGCATCAAAACCATGATTTTACAAACATTGTTCATGGTAAGAACTATGTAGGCGTGACACAGTGACTATGAAATATCAGGGGAGCCACAGATATTTGGGTAAGACTTGTCTTCCCCCATGACTGAAAATATATTCTTTAGGCCATTTAAAGCCACCAGCATCCTTTATAACCTGCAAAACAAAGGTCTAAGAACTAAGATGATTTCCAGGAAGTTCTGCGTAAAAAGAGAAATCCGAGTGATCACTTATGGTTTCACACATTCACAGAACACAAGAGATCTGCTGAGGAGATGGGAGACGATGGAGACGTTAGCCCTGATCTGTTCTCAGATGGTACGCAAGGCTGGGCTTAGGAAAGTCGCTAGCCTAGGCCCTCCAGCTAGCCCTGAGACCGGAACAGGATGCTGAGGTCCCAGACAGACCGTGGCTATTTGCAGCATGGCCTGCTGTTTCACTGGAGTCATTTAAAAGTCACCAGCAGGAATGTGTGTCTTCAGAGGCCTGGCAGATAGACGCTTGTCAGTTCAACCCTTTATGTCATCAGCAAGTTCTGAGAAATAATAAAGACGATAAATTCAAAATGCCAAGTCCCCTTGATCTCCTGTCACTCTTCAGGGCTGTCACCCAGGATTCCAGTCCCTTCCCGATAGTGATCAGTGACTACATCCAGTGAGGAAGAGCCAGCCAGCTGTGTGCCGGGAGGGTCACCTGGAGCAGATGGAGGTGGCTCATTACACGTGATAGGTCCCAGATAACAGAATGAAGGACACTTGCCGAGGAGCAAGTGTGATACGCAGGACTGAGAGGCTGGCTTGCAAAGAGTTTCTGCATGGAGCACTGAGTCCCCGGCTGGCTGTCAGTCAAAGGGTGTCTGCACGGAGCACTGTGTCCCCTGACCATGTCGGGTATTCTCGGCTTCTAGCAAGACAGGTGCTTTATAAGCAGAAAGCTCAGTGGAAAGTTGCGCCTGAGAGTCTCTTTCTTGGGTACTGCCAAGGGCCTGTGTCCAGGGAGGGGTCTTGACAGTTCTTATAGATTAGCAGGCAACAGACTTGGAGGAGCACTTAGATTGGAGGAGCACTTAGATGCTCCTCCTTGCTGGTACGTCCAGGTCACGCTGTGTCGCTAGGACAGAAGAACTCCGTGTGTGCTTTAGATCAGGTTAGGGAACCGAGCAGAGAGGAGAGGTTTCCCCTCGTTTCTGTGGATGTGCTTCCCACTCTCCAGTGGGCAGTCGTGCGAGTAAAGCCTTGAGACTGCTTTCTAAAGCAGACACGGCACACATGAGGGCTGTGCATCCTGAACTTGTTGGCCCCTGACCCTGGCCTTCAAAGCCAGCCCGGTTCCCACTTGAACTGGGAGGCTGCTGTAACAGCCAGGCTCCCGGGGGCGAGAGGCCGGGGCTGCTGTCTTCTCTCAAGCGGCCTGCAGAGCCCAGCCCAGCTCTCTCCCCAGAGCACAGGAGCCCACACCCTGCCTGGATGTGTGACTTACACAGAACAAAGCAGCCATTCTGCCCCCAGCAGCACATTCGTCACCCAGCTCGCTCCTCGGCCCCCTCACAGGTCCAGCGTAGGGACACCGAGAGTTCTGACTATCACTGTGTGGCACTGGTTAGAGTTAATGACGTCAAAGCCCGGTGATGCTGCATACTTTTAGTGACGTGGGAAGTCCCAGGGCTACCAGAGTTTGCTAAGATTCTAAAGACATCCAAAAACTCAACCTTTCCCGGTCTTAGCTAACAGCTGCGTGGTTCCTGTACTAGCCGTTTTAGTTTTTTATTTTATTTTGTCTGAGGCAAAAGTATTGCTGTGTAGTTCTGACTGGTCTGTGCAGATGCAAGTGACCTCAGGCCATAGTTGAAGGAGCTGCTCACAGCATGGCTGGTGGGCAGAGAGGCAGGGAGAAGAAGAAGCTGGGGACAGGCCACGCCTACAAGAGTAGACCCCCCCCAGTGGCCGGCCCACTTCCTCCGGCCAGATCCTGTCCCCTACCAGTCTGTACAGTGT